ATGCTGTCGCCGGCAACTCACAGCAGCCCAGCTCCAGGTTGAGCTGTTGTTCAGCATCTTAGCTGTAGAGGGCAGTGTCACTGGCCCTCATATGTGGAATCCAAACCGGGGCCCTCTGGCGTTCCAAGCCAGTGCTTAACCAATGCGCCACTCGGCCGGCCCCTTTTTCATTTTCTTAAGGATGTGTTTCAGAGAGCAATTTGTAAATTTGATGAAGTCCAGTTTACCAGTTTTTATTTATTTTTTTGTTTGTGTTTTTTGTTTTTAAGGATCTTTGTATTCCTGGTCACAAAGATTTTCTCCTAGTTTTTCTTCTGGAAGTTTTATAGTTTCAGCTTTTACATTTAGGTCTGTGATTCATTTCAAGTTAATTTTTGTGTATGGTGTGAGGTATGCAAGGTTTCTTTCTCTCCCAGTGGATACCCAGTTATTCCAACATCGTATGTTGAGACATCCTTTCCCCACTGAATTACTTTGGTGCCTTTATCAAAAATCAGTTGACCATATGTGAGTGGGTCTATCTAGGCTCTCTGGTCTGTCCCACTGATTTATATATATGTGTATTCTTAACACCAGTTAATTCCAAAGTTATCTTACTGGAGCCAACTGGTCCCCTGACTGTTTTGTCCTTTGTCCTAATTTACTTTCCACACTGCATCTAGAATGATCTCTTAAACATAAGTTTAATCATTGTTCCCCTTTAATAGCTCCCTTTGCCTATAGAATAAAATCTACATTTCTTACTTTGCATTGTAAGATCTTCATGAAACTGGCCCCTGTTTATCTCTTGGGCTTCACCCGTGTCCTGTACCTTCCTCCTCCCCCTCATTCTTATGTCTCTTTTCTGCAGTAGTCCTGGACCATGTTTCTCTCTTCTAAGTCTTTGTACTTGCTTTTTCTTTTGCTTACCTTAAAGTCTTCCTTACTATCTCCACTTCCCATTTGCTAGACCATTTATCGTCCTCTAGGTTTTATTCAGCTTAACTTGTCATTTCCTCTTCCTTTTCTTTCCTGGCTTAGATTTTCTTGGTATAGTCACTCTGTACTCCAGTAACACCATACATAATACATTTCCTACTTTATGAAAGTCGTTCTCACACTTTTTGGTCTCAGGACTCCTGTGCACTCTTAAAAATTATTGAGGGCTGCAGAGAACTTTATGTGGGCTACATCTACCAATATTTACTGAATTTAGAAATCAAAACACATTAGAAAATATTAATTTATTTAAAAATTATAATAAACTTATTATATGTTAACATAGTTATTTTTCATAAAAAAGTCCTTAGTTTCCGAAACAAACAAAAGAGTGAAAAGAGTGACATTACTTTTGCATTTTTACAATCCTCTTTAATCTATTTAATTTAATAGAACACAGCTGGATTCTCATAGTTGCCTCTACATTCAATCTGTGGTGACATTACACTTCATGTGGCCTTTGGAAAATTCCATTGTATGCTTGTGAGAGCATGAAAGTGAACAAAACAGATTTTTGATTATTGGGAAAATAGTTTTTGTCGTATGCGTCCCCTGGAAAGGTCTTGGGAACTCCTGAATGTCCCTGGACTGCACTTTGAGAACCATTGCTTCATAGTGGTCACTTCATTATTTGTCTCTTCCCTCTGACTATGTGCTTTGAGAGTGGAGTCCAGGTCCATCTTGCCTACTGCTGTATCCTAGTGCCTGGGACATTGTCTTCCAGACATCGATTGATTGATTCACTTATGCAATCACTTGCTTAGCCAGTTGGGTTCTTTGGAAATAAACATCAGGCACTAGAGGTGTATGCTGTGTGTGTTCAAGAGAATTGCAGTGCATGAGCATTCATTTTCTCATGCAGTGCATGACCAGTTCCACTGGTGCCTTTTGGGTTTTTCACTAATGTCACAAGAGTATAATTCTTATTTGGGCTCAATGTTGAGGTAAAAGCAAAAATGTAAATTAGTGTTTGTCTTGGATTTTTAAAAATAAGGTGTATGTATATGGGATGTTATGAATAAATATAAACAAAACTATGAAATATTGCCTTGCATTCTAAAAGTCTAATCGTTTGTTATTTCTACCTGACCAAAAAGATGGTGTGAAACTGCACTGTTCCTCCTTTTTCTCTATGCTTTTTTTTTTTTTTTAGCTGAGCCATCCTGCCACCTGTTGGCAGCTCAGTGGCTGCTCAGCTTGGGCCAGGACTCAAACTGCCGTTGCTCAGAGCTCAAACTCTTGAGCGAGCTCTTAACCAACTGAGCCACTCGGCCGGCTAACCCTTGTTCCTCCTTTTTATTTGTTGTCAAGGAAGTAGTTTAGGAAAAATACACAGGAAATATTTATTCTGAAAAGGTCATTAGATAACCAGTAGGAGATTCTTAAGCGCTTGCCAGAAAAAATGACCATTTGTCCATTGTGGACAAGAAAAACACATTTAAACTGGTGTGAATCAGGAGAAAAAGAAGTAGCATGAGGCATAGCTTACTAATTATGTGTTGTCTGGTTTCCATGAAAGCCTTAATTAGAAAGAAAAGGAAAAAGATGTGCTTATTATTGTAGCTACAAGTTCAGCATTTACGGCATGATCATTATAGGCGATCACTATCCTCGCCAACCCACCCTCAATAATTGTGACATGCAAACACATTAGTGAGGCCCTGCTAAAATTCAGGTTCTTGACGTCACTCTTCATCTTAATCTGCTTCAGAGCAGTCATACTTTTTGATGTGATAATAGTCATAGGACTTGAAACCATAGGAGGTTTTTATTTTTGCTTTTCAGACAAGCAGACTGGACTTCAAACATAGATTTCCTTATATTGTGACTTACTGACTTATTTATATGGCCCATCTAGGCCATCTAATAGTGTTACATGTTTCTGATGACATTTTAAATGGAGGCACATGAGAAAATGGTTTTGGCACCAAGCATACATTAAGTAGCTCTTCTTTGGGACAGTGCTTGCTTGTGAAGGAGGTTACTCGTGTTAATATGGCCCCACTGCACTTTGACTTGACTCCCTGTCATAGAGGATGGATTGCGCTGTGATTTTAACATGTCCTTAAAGAAAAAGGTATTAGGAAATAAAATTGTTTACACTTCGTCATTGTGAGGACTTGGCAGGTTAATAGCCTTCCCATTTATCAAGGAAAAGCCTTTTTAGTTTTTATTTCTACCTATAGATCATTAATCCCTCCTTTGTAGCAAGGCCAGGGTAAGCCTGTTTATTCGTATATTTTATACTTGTGGTTTAACTATTTGCTTATTAACAGGGTGACACATTAAACCTATTTCTGTAGGAATAAGTATATAAATTCTATGTACCAGAAACCATAGCATTTTATGGGATGAAATATTTTGCCCCTTTTCTTCCTTTTAGCACAGCATTCTGAAATTTTTTGGTCATTGCAATCATCTTGATCGGGAGATGAGAAAATGCTTGAAGAATGAGGTAAGAAAAGTGTTAGACTATGGAAATGGTTGAACAATGGAACAGAACATTTTGGACAGTATTATATTTTTCGGCCATTATTAAAATGTCCCACAAATTTTAGTATAACAGGGAAATATTGATTTTATATATATGTCCCCCCCCAAAAAAAAAACCCAGGAGAAAAATTAAAGCCTCTTCTGGGGACAGTTTTAGAGTATCACTGTTTTTTGCAAGCACACAAATGAAAACAACTTTCTTATCATTATCACTGTAATTCCTTTGGATGAATTTTAAGGTTTGGGAAATTGAATTCCTGTTGCGCAGAAACACATGTCAATCAGTTATTAGCTATACCAGGTAACTAACTTTCTGGGCCTCAATTTTCTTACGTAACACGAGGATGCTAGACTTAGGGACTTTGCAGCTTTAAAATTTTGAATTTCTTTTTAATTATGGTATGTATAAGCCTTAGTTTGACTTCTTTGGAAAGACTCATTTCCTGAACCCAGTTTTAGGATAAGACTTAGCCAGAGTACCTAAATTCATTGTCTTTTTACAGGTACTGCTGACCAAGCAGGGTGCATTTTGAAAATTTTTTTAAAAAGATTTTTATTGGGGAAATAGGGGATGGGAACAGCACTGGGGAATTGGGGGAAGGGGAACAGACAAGTTGCTGTCCTTTTGTTCTTCAATCTAGTTGTGGAGGACGTTGCTTCACTGGCCCATGTTGGTATCATCATTGTGCTCTTCCTGGGCAAGGCAGATGAGTTGCTGGCTTCTGGACGGCTGCTCACGCTGGCTGCTCGCTACACACGGTAGCCCATGGCAACCCACTGCAAGCAGGAGCTGCAGCCTATGCCGTCGCTGGCGACTCCCGGCAGCCCAGCTCCAGGTTGAGCTGTTGTTCACCATCTTAGCTGTAGAGAGCAGTGTCACTGGCCCTCGTATGTGGGATCTGAAACGGGGCCCTCTGGTGTCCCAAGCCAGCTCTTAGCCAATGTGCCAATGTGCAATTGGCCGGACCCAGGGTGCATTTTAAATCTTTGAAAAGAAATTTAATTCCGTTTCTGTTTTTTACATCAGGTATTTTATGTCCAGAACCTTTGAAAATCTATAACTACTAAAAATCTGTCCAATTTTCTTTCATTTTCTGTGTTTTTGAGCTTTCCCCCCCATTAGTCTCATATTGAAAGGTATTAGAAATAATATTTGAAGCTGTCCAGCATCTATCTTTCTTCATTTTGTATATTTTCCACTTTGGGCTTCTTTTTTCTTTCTAGAATCCCTTTCCAAAGTGTCTTTACTGTTTAAAGAACTTGCTAGCATTCTGACTTAAGCGTGGTAATTTTCTTTGTGTGCACAAATGTGTACATGTATAAGTGTTTAAAACTGATTTTTGTAAAGAGTTTTTTCCTTCATATGCAAAGGATGGTTTAGATGGAAACTAAGCCTTGGGCTGTGTTCCTTTTTTAAATAAGATATGGAAACATAGTGCCCATACTATTCAGTATAGCTGTTTATTTCGCACATGCTTTCAGTTGTGTAAGATAGCTTTTCCCCCCCTAAGTTTAGATGTTTTTCACCTTACAATTCAGTGATTTTGCTGTTGGTTAGGTGATTAGATCTTCATATGAAATTTTCTTCTCAGATAGTCCTGAGCTGTTAGTGATTATTTGGTAAAATGTTGTAGATACTGTTATTTTGTCTGAGTTTGTTTTCATATAAATTTCAGATTTTCTCCTTAACTTTATTTTCTAAGTCAAGTAATGTTGCTTCATTACTTGATTTATAGACATTTTTCTGTCCTTTCATCCTTTAGGCCTCTGCATCTCTGCTCATTTGTTTCCTGTCTGCTTTTAATGCTACCATTTATTGCTTCTAATGCCCTCTTCCTACCATTTCCTTGCTGTGTCATTTGAGTTTTTCATTTTTTGAAGCTTTTAACTAGAAAAAGGATCTGGCCAGTTGTGTTGAGCCTTTCTTTGCTGTTGTGTCGCTGCTTTTGTTCATTTTATTAAAATAATCACTGATACTACTTTTGTAGCATCTTCTTTTGTCTTTCTTAGTTGTTTTGTTCTATTTAGTTTTTGGTTCATGGACCTTCCATTCTATCTGTGTTGTTTAATGGAGTTTTGTGAACAATATCATATTCATCCTTTTTCTTTTCTTCTTTTATTCAGGGGTCATGTTGATGTCCTTTGGAGATACCTTAACATATTTTAATATAGACTATATTTTAATTGGTTCTATGATTTATTGGCCTGCTACAAAGTATTATCTTCTGAAGACTTACCCTTAAGAATCTTCTCCCAACCCGATTGCTGGAGGCAACGTGATTAAAGATATGAGGTCTGACAATTAAGTTCGCGAACTTGCCACCGTGTGCTTACATTGGCAGCACTGTACAAACAGCTCTGTAAGGTTTCATGACTTTGGTATATCAGCGTCTCACAGCTGTGTTCCTGTTGATGTGTGGCGGTGTCTTGCTGAGTGGCGTTCATTTTTTTTATTGTTGCCTGTTTTTGTGTGCCCTCGCGAGAATGTCTGAGCTTGAATTAGAGCAACGAACCAACATTAAATTTCTTGTTAAACTTGGCAAGAGTGGAAGTGAAATCAGGGACATGTTAGTCCAAGTTTATGGGGATAATGCCATGAAGAAAACGGCAAGATACAAATGGATTAAACGTTTTTCTGAGGGGAGAGAACATGTCACTGATGAAGAGAGGTCAGGGCGGCCAGTAACGAGCAGAACTGACGAAAACATTGCAGAAATTCATCGAATTGTGTGTCAAAATCGTCGGCTGACTTTGAGAAGTATAGCAGACCAAGTGAACATCGATAGAGAAACAGTTAGGAAAATCTTAACAGAAAATCTTGGCATGAGAAAGGTGTGTGCAGAAATGGTCCCGAAGGAGCTCACCGATGAACAAAAGCAAAGGAGAGGCGAAGTTTGCCAGGACCTTTTGGAGAGGCAAGATGATGTTTTGGGCCGTGTTATCACTGGTGATGAAACATGGGTGTACCAATATGACCCTGAAACAAAGCGTCAAAGTGCACAATGGAAGTCAGCCAATTCTCCACGACCAAAAAAGTTCCATCAGTCCAAATCAAGAGTCAAAATGATGTTGCTAACCTTTTTTGATATCAGAGGGATTATTCATTATGAATTTGTACCAACTGGACAAACAGTTAACCAAGTTTACTATTTGGAAGTGCTGAAAAGGCTGCGTGAACAAGTCAGACGAAAACGACCTGAACTTTTCACCAACAATTCATGGCTCTTGTATCACGACAATGCACCAGCTCACATGGCACTGTCTGTGAGGGAGTTTTTAGCCAGTAAACAAATAACTGTATTGGAGCACCCTCCCTACTCACCTGATCTGGCCCCCAGCGACTTCTTTCTCTACCCAAAGATAAAGGAAATATTGAAAGGAAGACATTTTGATGATATTCAGGACATCAAGGATAATATGACGACAGCTCTTATGGCCATTCCAGAAAAAGAGTTCCAAAATTGCTTTGAAGAGTGGACTAGGCGCTGGTGTCAGTGCATAGCTTCCCAAGGGGAGTACTTCGGAGGTGACCATAGCGATATTCAGCAAGGAGGTATGTAGCACTTTTTCTAGGATGAGTTCGCGAACTTAATTGTCAGATATCAAACTGTAGATATCAAATATTTTTCTTAGAGTAGGTATCTCTCTCTCTCTCTCTCTCTCTCTCTCTCTCTCTCTCTCTCTCTCTCTCTGTGTTCTAGAATAGCCACTCTTTTTTCCTTAACTTTTAGAGCAATGAAACGTCCTTTTCCCCTAACAAACTCAAGTGGAAAATTAATGTATGACAGATAAAAGGAATGATTTTGGCTAACGGGAGACCTGGTGCTTCATATGTAATTTTGAAGTGGCTCTTTGATGAGGAAGGAAAAAAAAAAGATTTGAAAGCTACCACTCCAGAAGATATGTTAGAACTCTTCAATCAAAACCTTAGGCTCAGAAAACTTATTAAAGATTATCTAACCCGACTCCTTATATTTGAGGTTACTGGACCAGAAGATGAAGTAACTCAAAGTAAGGAGTGTCAACACCATTGTCTCAGGCCAGGGGAGGGGATCTGGTTAAGTCCCTGATTAGCTTTCTATTACTCATCTTTTGTTTCTGTGGCCTCTTGCCACATCTCTGTCTCCTAAAAATTTTGATGTCCAATTGTTCACTCAGTTTTTTCAACTTGGATTTACTTTTACTTTTTTCCCCCTCTTCCTAGAGACCCTTTATTCACCTTCAAAATATAGCTTTACTGGTATATGTATTATAAGCTTGTAAATATATACATATGAGAACACTTATATTCAAGTTTTTCTGCTTTAAACAAGTGCTTTTTCTAAGTGCCAAGCTTTATATTTCCTGTTATTTATAATATTGGCTAGATCAGAATACTAGGCTGAAAACCTCCAAGGTGAAACTGTGTTTAGAGCCAACTGATTACAGAAACATAGGATTTGGGGAGAATCAGGTTCAGTGACTATTCATGATGAAAATACCCTGGGAAATTCCGGTGACTGTAAGTTTCTATATGAACCAGTAGGATAATATGGTTGCTGAGAGCCAGTTACTCTTTTGATAATATTTATAGAAATGTAATGTGTCCAGGTATTAAGAACTAGTAGGCTCATTGTAGTCCACATCTGTCAGACTATGTCTGGAGCACTATATTTAATTCTGGTGATATTTTTTACAAGTGGCATTGATATTAAAGTACTTTATAAAAGGTACTTTATAGATAAGATGTTAGAAGGCAGAAACCATGTTGTAGAAACCAGCAATGTTCAGAGTGAGAAAGAGGCAGGGAGTAAGTTACTGTAATCAGATGTTTGGAAGATTCTAGCAGGCAAGAAGAAATAGAGAGCAGCGGGCGAATTTACTGGGAAATACTATTGGTTCAACACAAAAAACTCTGGAACGATTACTGCAACGATAACTAAATAGGCTACCTCTCAAGGTAGTGAACTCCTCATAACTAGAGTGTTCAAGCAGATGATCTGATAGAGTGTGAGCTGGAGAACAGGGACAAAAGTCACCCATCTTAAATATTTACTAATTTCATATTTTGGAAGGAAATTCAGTAAAGACGAGAGCATTTACTAGAATGTAGGCGCTGTACTATATTGAATGAAATTGTACTAGGTAGCGTCTAAGGTTAGTGTTTCCAATATCAGGTCCAGTGAAGTAAAAGACAAAGAAGAATTTGTCAGCAAAAAATTGTTTTTTATTTTGTAGATATTTAAAAATACTTAACTGATATAAATGGTGACATAACCTGCTGTTTTCCCCTCCTTTTATTTTCCAGTACATGGAAAAGAGGACCAAGAGCAGGGAGTATGGCAACACGATGCGCAAGAGACTTTTTAATCCTCCAGAGGACTCTGAAAAGTGAATTACGTTTTCCCTGGATGCACTGGCTAAGAGAAGACCTAAAGATTCTTGGAAGAGAACCTACAGAACCCTATTCCGTTTGGCCTCTAGAGTCCTGTGAGTGGCAAGTGAGCCAGGAGAAATGGCGCTGTGGAGAAATACAAAACCCCTGGATTCTGAATGTTTGTTGGGCAGAGCCTTCAAATACTCTGACTCCTTTACCAACACACCTGACTCCTAACAGATTTCTTCCCTTTGCCTGCAGCCAGTTAACCTTCGCGTAACATATCTCCCTCAATAAAATAATTGACTTTAATCATATTTTCTCCATTCTCTTAGACTCTCCTGGAATTAGGGCCAAATGGTCCCATTAGACTTTTCTTTCTGACAACATGGCAGTTTTGGAGCTTACACATTGAAGACACAGCTAGGGCAAAAAGAGTTTGAGGACGTCCCTGCTGTGTTAACTATGTAAAAACAACTTGATTGTTTTCACAGAGCTATTTTCTAAAAGGTTAAGTGTTTTACATTGATAAAACTCACATCGGGTTAGGATTTAAACCCTGACAGACTTTGTTGCCTATTTGGTTGGATGTGCCCACCACCCTGGGTGCCAGTTAACTACTGGGCATTCACCGGAGGCCAGCCTGCGTCCTCTCTGCTGGGTACAGGACTCTTCGTCCCAGACTCATTTCTAGCAGTGTTCTTTCTGCCAGGTGTTTTTGAGACTGGTGAGAGTCTGGAAGGCAGCACCTTCCAGCCGCGTGACATGAGGGGCTTGATCTTGGCAGATCAGGTGTCAACAGACTGTGAGCTGTGAGCTCCTTCTAGTGAATTCTGTGTATATGCGTATGGTCAGCATGAGGTCTTCTTGGGGTCATTGTTTACTGAGTGACTTCCTCATCACCAGAGATGTTCAGTAGGCTAGACATTCACTTAGCGCGGTGGTTACACAGGATAGCAGACATTTGATGAAGGGTTGGAGGAAAAAGCAGAATTAATTCTGAGGTCCCTTTCAAGACTGAGATATGTGAATATTTATTCAGCCCCCCACCATCCACCCCAATATCAGGCAGTACAGGTACAGAAAAGAGACGTTTTGTCTTTAGAAGCTTGTACTAAACTGACAAGTTGACTATTACTGTAGTGTAGTAAGTGCCATGATTAGGTAGGTGTCATAGAAAATGTAGAAGGGGCATCCATGCCTAGCTTTGAAGAAGAAGGAGCCATTCTAAGAAAGCTACTTAGCAAAGGTGACCTTTGACAAATGGAGTGAAAATCGTGTAGCATGACTGGAATACAAGAGCTGTTGGTGGAGGAAGATCAGAAATGGCTGTGAATTCTTTTCGAATTTTTTCTTCAATGCTGTGGTGACCAGTTGCAAATTTTAATATGGTGATTAGGGATTTGTGGAGGGGGCTTAGGTAGGAGAGTGATATGTTTCAATTTGTGTTTTAGTAAGATTTTTCTGGTTGTAGTTTAGGGTATAAACTGGAGAAGAAGGGAGTTTACCCAGGGATACCAGTTAGATATTGCCATAATCTAGGTGATAAATGAGGGCCTGAATTAAGCAGCTTGGGGATCAAGAGGCTTGACTAGATTGGAGAGGAATTTGAACATAGAATCAGCATGACTGACTAGGTGTAAGGTTTAAGAAGAGCCTAGGAGGTCTCAGACATTTGATTTGTGCCTGGGTGCTGATAGTGCCCTGCCTTGAGCGGGAGGGAGTACAGAAGAGGTGTGTGAATCACTGAGTTGGAGGTGTGTGTGGATGATCTGGGTGGAGATGGCTTTTTGGCCTCTGAGTATTCAGATCTGGAGCTTATTAGAGTCGCCTAGGGCTAGAGCAGACTTGGGAGACAGCAGCTTGCAGATCAGAGCTAATGCCTCATGGCCAACGTTGATAGTGGACTGTGAAAGTCGTTTTATAGGGTAGAATGAAACTTTGGAGTCAATTTAAAAAATTATATAAGTACTACAGAGTAAAAGGATCCTTCTTTATATCGTGTTTCCCCCAAATTAAGACTGGGTCTTATATTAATTTTTGCTCCAAAAGACACATTTTATTCATTTATTTATGTACGAAAATCTACATTTATTCAAATACAGTCATGTCTGGCTGACGATCTTAACTGGGGCTTATTTTGGGGTAGGGCTTATATTACAAGCACCCTGAAAATTATGCTAGGGCTTATTTTCCAGTTAGGTCTTATTTTTGAGGAAACATGGTACCCCAATACCACTTGACTTCCCGGAAGTATCTGTAATTGACAGTTGGGTGGGTCTTTTAGGCATTTATATTAAGATTTCAGGACAGGAGAGGGCGCCCCATATATGGAGAAGGCATAGAGGTAGAAGGCAAATCATAGAGAACGGTGCCACAGATTGCCAAGGGGGTAAAGAGGAAGGAGTGTCACTGGGTAAGAGTAAGGGCTGAGGTGCCAGTTGATTGGGTTCCTCTGTCATCTGTGACTTCAGAGTCGTTTGGTGTGGTAAGGAGTGTTGGAAGCTGAAGTGGAGCTGGAGGATATAAGCACATTTGAAAAGGCTTGGCTCATTTGAAAGGACAGTGTAGGACCGAGAAAGGGTCTTCTTAAAAAATCAAAAGGCAATGGTGGGTGCCACTTGGGGATAGGTATATGGTGAAAGGTGCCAGCAGAGAGGGAGGGATTAGTTGATGGAATGAAATCTTTGAGGATGCAGACATGGATGGAATTCAGGGCCCTTGCTGACAGTGATGATGTTTTTTTCAAGAATACAAGTTAGAAACTGAAAACTTAAAGCACTGTAGGAAATGCAAAGTATTCTTTTCAGAGAACAGTAAATGCTTATTTGTGCAACATGCAATGCTGTTTCTTCTACAAAGAATGAAGAACAAGGCTGTTTCCACTCTCTGAGAACCCAAATCTCAGATATACTAACCTGGTCACCAGTAACCAGTGATATGCTGGTAAATGTTCAATAACTGGCTCTCAGAAAAGAGGCACTAATTTGTAGCATTTGCCATTTTCTGTAGTGTAAATATTCTTGCCATGGCAGACTTCAAACTCCCAAGCTGACGTCACTCAAAGTGTAGTTGGGAAGAGTTGCACACAGTAGGCTCTCCTGAGCTGGTACCCGCTGACTCCAGCCTTCCTTGGCACACCACACCGGGCAGAAGGAACTGCAGAGAATCATCAAGTCAATTGATTGCCCACTGATTGTCGCCTTTCCCACCTCAAGCATTTTGTCAGTCGAGAGTACCTGTAACCTAAAGCAGGACTGTTGTGACGTCTGCAACAGAGCAGCTGTAGTTGAGGACTATGGGAGTTCAAAGAGTCTCCAGGTACGTGTCATTTTGTAAAGGAGCAAATGACCGTATGCCAGGTGGATTAGAAAGGAAACGAGACTTGCCTATGCCATGATGGATGGTTGGACTTGCACCCAAGGAGCTCAGATGCCCTCAACCCTCTTCTTTACAATCACACTACCTTGATAGCCATCTCATGAACTAATGGGACCATCAAAAATGGGCAGGGGCTGTCTGTAAGTTGTCACCTAGCTGTGTGACTTCTGAGAGGGTGCTCAGTCTGGATTTCAAGTCTTATTTTGAAAATGAGGTTGTTGGGCTAGTTTACTGTGTTGTTTACCAGAGTCCTTAGTACCTCAGGCCTAAGCACTAAATAATCAGCAGGAGGTAACTTTGCTTTACAATAAAAATTGCTGTGACTAAATGGCTGTTTGGCCTGGGTTTTTATTATTGTTTTGTGTCATTTTCCCTTTGAAGTTCCATCCCATGTAGGTCTCACCTTCCTATCCTCATCTCTCTTATTGCTGTAGGTGCCACCTTTACTAACAGGAGTATATCACATTTCTCGAGTATCGACGGTACATCGAGCGTCAAAATGTCCTGCTCAGACCTCCTCTCCCTGCTCCGGTCCAGTCTCCCTCCAGACAACCCTCACAGTCCTGCCAGGGAAACCCCATACACTACTTGTAAGGTCTGACAATATTCCAGCTGTCCCTAATCACTAGACTAATGTGCACACAAGACCTTGGCAATATGAGCCCTTTCTACCTGTCTAGCTCCCTCTAGGAAGCGAGTTTGAGAAAGAAAATGCTGTAGACTGGAGCATCAAGAGCAAGGGAGAGAGTGGAATGAGATGAGGGGAGCAGGGGGCAGGTGGGCAGGGGCTGGGGAGCCACAAAGAACTTGGGTTTTATAAAAATCTTTGGCTGCTGGGTGAAGGACTATGGTGAAGCTAATTCAACCCAAGTGTGGCTACTTACAATTTTTTAGGCTTCAGGTTCCAAACCTGTTTATGAGGGATAATATCGATACCCATTATGTAGGGTTACTGTGAGGATTAGTGGAAATAGTATGTATAGCTCTTAGCAAATTAACTGGCACAAAGTAAGGGCCCACTCAATATTGTTATTCTGTATGGCTGCATCCAAATGGAGTATTGGGAACGCTTCCCTGCACTTGGGTAGAATGCACCATTTGGGCAGGGTCCCAGCAGAAAGGGTGGAGGATCAAAGGGTGAGGGGCGTGGTATGAGGCAGAAAGAAGGGCCAGGCTGCTACAGCCCCTAGAAACATCCCTCCCTGGCTCCCTGAATGTCCTGCCTTTTCATAGTAAGCAAGTCCCAGTGTTCAGACTCGGCTTCTCTCTCCGTTGTTACACCATGACCTGGTGTAGGTCATGTCTCCTGTCTCCTGCTTCCCCCAGCTCTCTGTGATTCTAAGTGAACTCTCTAGATCACAGTTTTATCTCTAGAGCAAGCATACTTTTCCTGGGAATTTCTGTGGTTTTATTTTATTTTATTTTATTTTATTGGGGAATTGGGGGATGGGAAATTTTATTGGGGAATTGGGGGAGGGTAACAGACAAGTTGCTGTCCTTTTGGTCTACAGTCTAGTTGTGGAGGACGTTGCTTCACTGGCCCATGTTGGTATTATCATTGCGCTCTTCCCGGGTGAGGCACATCGTTCGGCGGCCTCTGGACGGCCGCTCACGTTGGCTCTTAGCAGCTCATGCTGGCTGCCGGCCGCTCACGCTGGCTGCCGGCCACACACAGTAGCTTATGGCAGCTCACTGCAGCAGGGGCTGCAGCCTACACTGTCACGGGCGACTCATGGCAGCCCAGCTGCAGGTCGAGCTGTTGTTCAGCATCTTAGCTGTGGAGGGAGCAGCGTCACTGGCCCTCATGTGGGATCCGAACTGGGGCCCTGCTGCTTAGAGCTGGCGTCCCAAGCCAGCTCTTAACCAATGCGCCACTCAGCCAGCCCTGTGGTTTTCTTTTTAAAAATAAATTTCTTGATCTACACTTGTGGTAGAA